GGGAATCGGGGAATTACGAAACTATAAAACGGACTCTGGTGTCTTGAGAATTAGAAAACCGCTCAATGAATTAAAACTAGTAAAGAAATTTGGCGAAGCTTTCCTTTATTAGTACAGCGTATCATAAAAAAGTCAATCCACATTGCTTATGTCCGATCATTAAGTAATATTAATAATAATAACATTGCTTATGTCATTACTAATATACTTGCTATATAATAAAACAAACTTAAGGACTAGATGCAAGCCCAAAGCGGTCCTTATGCTCCATATGATATCTTAAAGTGATTATCCTATTTTAAATATCTTACAAAGCAAAACTAACAAAACACAAAATACTTCAAAATACGCAGATTTTAAGTTAGCAATTTAAGTTGGCAAGTACGTTTCTAAAGGACCCAGCCGAACTCTCCTGGACGTGCTCCACCTTGAGAAGGGGAGGAAAGTCTGGAGGAACGAGAACGTAGCCAAGAAAGCTTGGATACTTTGCTCTGATGCAGGCTAATCGGAAATGAAAATGCATGTTCTGAGGCTCACTTTCACCCCCCCCCCCCAGGAAAAGTTCCTTTTTCCTAAATTTATACAAACAAACCAGCGAAGAATAACAAATTGATAAACGGAACGTACGTTTTAGACTTTATCCTTGGTCCTTGTTTAACAAAATCGATTTAAAGGACTGTGTCACCGCGTGCGCATCCTACGTGTTTCTAACACTAAGTAATGATAAATTATTGTTAATATTTTTAAAATTCTTTGTGTGTTTTTTCCTTCTTTTATTTCAAATAGAAGTATAGTTAGGATAAATTCTAGAAAATTTAGATGCTCAGACGGCAGGACATGGCATTTTTGGGCTTGAAATTTCAAAAATTTTCTGGGGAGTTAATGCCTCCAGACCCCCCTATTCATTCGCGGTATGTCGGCCACACACGTGACCCACGGCCATTGCTATCCCCTTTAATAATAAGTAATGGATAAATTATTGTTAAAGGTGATCGATCTACAGTCCGTATGTAAACAAAGTCTTTGTTTACATTTTTGTGTCCAAAATATTGAGCATTATTGGACAACTATTTATATTTTCAAGCTTCTAGAGTATAATAAATGATCAAGAAATTTTCAAGCTTCTAGAGTATAATAAATGTGTCATAAAAAGTGGGCTCATTTGTACACATTTTTTCTGCATTTTTTCCTTCTTTTATTTCAAATACAAGTATAATTAGCATAAATTTTAGAGCAAATTTAGACGCTCATAAAGCAGGAAATGGTATTTGAAAGATTCAATTTTAAAACATTTTCTGGGGGAGTATGTCGGCCACACACCGTGGCCGTCGGTCATTGCAATCCCCCTCTAATATATTATCTAAAATCCCTTTTCAAAAAATACCCCCCACGGAAAAATCCTTAAAAAAGGCCCTGTTGTCCTGTATTTCGGTCTCGGAACTGTCGTATGTCGTCACGGTATAAGTTAACTGTGTAGTTCGTATATTTGCCTAGCCACATGTTGTGATTGAGGCTATGTGAGGATTGTAAGTTTATCACCTAGTACTATTTTAAGTAGATGCAGTTCGTGAGTTAGGTTTTGTGCATGCTCACAGGGTTTTGAAAGCAAACCATGCTGTGAAATATGTGAAGCCTATGGTTTGTGTCATGTATCTAACTATCTAGGTAGAATACCTAAAAGTAGATGTTGTACAAACTACAAAGTTGTGGTTTATAGAATCTGGCAGACCTCCCCCGCCCCCTGTCTCCTATTTCTGCCCTCCTCCCCCTCGCCCCTCCATTCCCTCCGTTCCCCGTTCCCTCACTTCCCGTTCTCCCATTCCCCGTCCCCCCATTCCCCGTTCCGGGTTTTAAAGATAGCCGGTTTCAGTCTATTTCCCGTTTTTCGACAGAGAAGACGATCTTTTTGCCTGTATTCAATCTACAAACACTAAAAACAAGTTTACTAGTCGTATTTTACTCGTATGTACTTGTGTTTTACTCGTATGTACTCGTGTTACTCGTATGTACTCGTATGTTACTCGTATGTTACTCGTATATACTCGTATGTTACTCGTATGTACTCGTGTGTTACTCGTATGTACTCGTATGTACCTGTGTGTTACTCGTATGTTACTCGTATGTACTCGTGTGGTGTTTTAGTCACGATCCGCTGAAAGAACAGCCAAACTAGTCCTGTATTCGAAAGCTTGTTGTTGACAGCCAAGATGTTCTGCCAACTTGCTTCGCCGGCAAAAGTCTTATTTTTAATATCAGGTCCTACCGGCGTTGTTTTCTGAGCTACATCGCCTTCTTCGTGGTATGATCGAGAATTTAATTGTTGCTGTTATTAGCCCGTTAGTCGTTAGAGTATATCCGCGTCCAGCAAGTTGAGACCTTGAGAAAGCTTGGCAGTCAAGCCGTGCACAGAACTGACTAATTAAATCTTTGTTTGCTGTTCGCCTGTTCGGTTAAATAGAGAAACTGACTCTTAATTATATTAAGTTTAATTAAAAAGCAAAATGCTCTGCGGACATGTTCATGAGAATATAATTTTTTTGTGTAACGAAATCTACAACACTTGTCAATCATATTGCATGTGTGTCTAAAAATAACATGTGGGCGTCTCACGGTCTAGACAGGTTTTGTGTCAGGCCCTATTTCAAATTAGGGCCTGAACTTCAGGTTACGGCTTTACGCGTGCTGTCTTCCTGGTTGTTCTACAAACAATAAAAGAAATCCTGGAAATAATTTAATTCCACCCGAATTAGAGGCTGCTTGATGTGTTAAAATGATTAAAGGTCCGTTTACACAACGCTTAATTTTTGGTACGGCACGGATAAAATTGGTACCCGTACCAAATTTATCCGTGCTCGGCCAGTCGGCCTTTGTAAATAGGTATAGTCCTCGCACGGATAAAAATGATACGGGTACCAAAATTGAGCATAGTGTAAACGGGCCTTTATGCCATTTATGTAAGTAATTTAGCCGTCCATTTATCATTGCAACAGTGTATAGACCACCAAATGCAACATCTAAATTTTTTTAGAACATTAGGTCAAAAGAACATTAGGTCAAAAGCTGACAATTAACACACACTATTAACTTGGTAGTTTTGCACTATAAGTCGATATATTATAGATAGACAATAAATAGGTGGACTTCTTGTAATTTTTTATGCATATACCATTTGATGTAAGTAGATTTTTATTTTACTGTACAAGTATGTTTTTCTATTTGTAATACTAAATTTCGATAAAATAAAAATGTACCTATAGCTATATGACAAGAATATTAATATATCAGTGCATCTTAGAGATTGTTACTTGGCACGATAATATTTCATTATTCCAAAGTCTGTTTCTACTTCACCTGCAGATACATCAGTGATTACTACTTTCGTTTAAAAAAGATAACGAAGTTTGGTTAAAACTCAGCATGAAGCTGGGCCGTACGCAGGGTTTTCCACCAGGAGGTACTAGGTAGTAATACCTATAGACTGATACTGTATAGGTAGCCAATGCATTATCAAAGTAATATCAGTTAGATGAATGCTTATATGCCCGCCCCATACTGAATCGTACATTCTGACTCACAAGATTATAAGCACCATTTGGCTTAATAATTTATAATAACATTAAAAATTTAGTAAGTTAATTTTCTCGGGGTAGGGGGAGGGGATGGCAGAGGGGATTGCCCCTGCTGCCGCCAGCTGCGTACGGCCCTGACATGAAGCTAAAATATCAACATGGGTTGGTTAAAAATTGTTTGCGTTTATAATGCAACTAACTAATTTACTAATTTTACGACTGTTGGTTTTGACATCGTCTCGGTTATTTAAAAGTCTTTCTAGGTTTCTCTAGGCTTGCCAATACTCTTTGTTGTTCCAGTATTCCTATCTCCATCTATAATCTCGACTCGGATTTCTATTATGCATTCTGCTGTTATTCCTATCGTCTCTTTCTCTGTAATTTGCAGGTTCCTCGTAACTTCCATCGTAGTGTGGATGACGATATCTTCCAGCATCCCGATGATCTACTCGTCTCCGACGATCAACTTCATGTCTCCTTTCTTCCCTATGAAACGTGCCGTCTTTCCTAGGATAGCTATCAAATCGTGAGTCATTACTAAGATCGGTTTCGTACCTGTGCCTCTCGTCGTGGCTTGGAAACTTATCTTGATCCGTGTACGAATCTCTCTCGTATTTCAAATTACCCCTTTCACTATTTTGATATCTCCCAGTGTCTCCTGCAAAACGGCGGCCATAAAACCTGTCGAAGAAGACAGATAATATTTAGAGTACACATCACCAAAAACAGATTAGTTTTACCATTGATGACTGCACATAATGTCGCTGTTCAAATATCAAAATAGTTTTTGATTTTACATGCATTTCTTTCAGTGCTTTTTTAGCATTTAGACCGCTCTTCTCCCGGTCGATCCGAGCCGAAGACACTGTCAGGTTGGGAGTATGGCTGCATGGGGCGGTACGACTGTCAAATAATAACGCAGGTGTCCTAAGGTGAGCTCAATGAGAACGGAAATCTCATGTAGAACAAAAGGGTATAAGCTCATTTGATTTTTAGTTGGCATCGCTTAATATACATGTAGGAAACAGTTATACCACGACAAAAGAAGACTTTGTAGCAATCCATGAGTAGTCATCTAAATAGTGATGTAAATCTAACATTTTCTAGTAGTGGGCTGCAGTTGGTGTCAGTTCGGTGTACATGCGTTTCTTAATATTTTACCAGATTTAATAAATTAATTTACTTGTGGAAAATTTGTTGTACGCCATGTATTACAGTATTGCAGGGGGGAATATTGATATTATAAAGTCAATACTATTTCCCGAGCCAAAGGCGCGAAGGGCCGTTCTGGGCGTAAGCCCGGGCCGAGGGTACTAACTCCGCTCTCGTCTATTCACACCCGGGAAAAGCAAAGCATTACGAAGTCTAAATTTGATTTACTATGGGAAAGTGATTTCCCATTTCCCAGGATTTACTATGGGGGAATCGGACAAGTTTCCCGTGAATGTTTGATGTTTATGAATTTTGTTGCTTTAATTTATGAGGTAAAATCAAATTTTGGCAAAATTTTGTTAGCAGCTACCTTACATACCTGTCGTCATCATAATTCACTTCATCATAACTCCAGCAATCCTGATGTTCGACATCACGATCGTTAAACCTCTCCCTATATCTACGTTTGCCACCTGTAGGCCCACGCGGTTCTGGTATTTCAGGTCTGAACGGCGCATGGGTGTCTCGACGCTGCTGATACCCGCCACGATAATCACGTTTCCGGTATCCATCGGGTTGATACTCATCATCACTGGGTGGAGATGTTTCAATTAAATGCTCGATATCTTGCTCTGACAATCTAAAAACCAAACCGAGTAATTATAACATACGTCAATATATTACCATAGCATGTCTAGGGATTGGCTGCTATCCAAATCGTTTCACCTTTCTATGTATTGGCAGAACGCAGAAGGTATACTGTAACATACGTTTTGGGCTTTCGCTGTTGTAGATCTTCCAGATAGTTTTCTCTTTCCATCTTATGTCCTCTGGCTTTATTAAAAACTAAACGAAATAGTCGCTATTATTAAAATACTACAATAACGAACTCAAATCCAATAATTTCTAAGAAATGGGTCCAAAAATATGAATGATTAAGAAATGGGTCCAAAAATATGAAAGATGCACCAGATGAGATAAATAGGGAAGAAAATACCACTATTTTAAAGATACTAGTTCGTGAATAAAACTTTAATCCTTGATTGTACTTATCACATTAGCGTTACGCCGAACCATGCGCGTAAGGGTGTGGGCACGTGGGAGGGCAGAAATTCCGCTCGGCTATTTACATCAAAACAACAGTGCGAAGTCTTAAGTTTGGTAGTGCTCGCGGGCGCGTAGCTATGTTGCCTGGATGGTAACCCAACTGACTGTCAGGGGTACAGTACTGCCAAGAAATAACTTATCAAACACCGCGTCCAAGACGCGGGTATCTTGCGTCCACTGTGCGTCCACGGGCACGTTCGTCCTGCGGGCGCCGTGCGTCCGTTGTGCGTCCACCGTGCGTCTGCGGGCGTTTGAGGGTGCGTCCACTGTGCGGTCGCCATGCGCCCGCTTTGCGTTTGCGGGCGAGGACGCAGCTGAGAAAGAGTTATCTTCGTAGATCGTCGGAAATGATCACGTTTCGCTTTTCATAACGAAACCTGGGCGTCGGAAAATAATTCATGCTAACGATTTCACTCTACGTTTTTATACACTCTTTAGCGGGGGGAATATTTTCCTCATCTTGCCTTTCTCGCGTCGCGTCCAATCTCGTTCCCAGAGTATGCCTGTTCGCGGGTTAGGTTGTGGCATGACTCTGGGGAAATCGAATTTTTTTATCCAAAATGAGATAAATGGCGCATGCGCTTTTATTGCTTTTGTTTATTCCGCTTACTAAATTCGCGCGGGCACACGCTCACAATCGATATTGTTTTAAACAAAGATTCTCATCAGAATATAGTGTACAAAATGGTTTTTTATACGTTTAAAGATGCTTTAAATCGTACTACTATTAAATTATACTCAATGGCAAATACTGAAAGAGCTATGAAAGCTGTTCTAGCGAAAAGAGGGCTTGAATATTCGTTAAAAGACGAGACATTCAATTAAATTTTATGTATCTCGGCCATTGTAAAAGGATGAAGATGTTTTGGTTGTTTTGCCAACAGGTTATGGGCATATTATGGCAAATATTAAAATATTTCAGCTGCTACCTGACGTGTACGACATGTTACTTGGCGTAACTAATTCTATCGTGATAGTCATATCTCCACATGAATGACCACTTGATTTCTGCATGCATGATAGTATGTCAAAGTATGATTATGATACAAGGGTGACAAGGCAATTCTGTGCTACACTATACTATATTTGGTGATGGCAGCGATATCAAATTACCATTGGATCCACATGAGAACCCAATGTATAAGCTGTTCTATATCCACCCTGAAATGTGTGTCTATGACAAGAAAATACAAGCTTTTTTCAACTGTATACTGTAAACCTCTGAATATAATGCTCACCTCATTCCAAATATATGCCCCCCCCCCTCAAATATAAGCCCCCTGAATATAAGTCCCCTGAATATAATCCCAGTATGTTATTTAACATTGACATTGTCTTTTAATATAGCAGAGAACGAATATTTAAAACACTGTCATTGTCTTTATAGCTTACTATGTTAATCGAAGTGTGTTATTAATACATGTTTATTTTCCTGTTTATGACTGACTTGTTTATTACTAACACAATTGATTGTCCATGTATAAGGCCCCCGTGCATATAAGCCCCCCCCCTAAGCCCACCAAAAATCGCTTACAAAAGAATATAAGCCCAGGGCTTATAGCCAGAGGTTTACGGTATTATTTATCACATATTTTAGCAATAAACACATTTTTTATATTACATTAACATATATACATGGAGCACATATAAAGTCTTTAAAATTTAAATGACAGTACATTGTGTTTGTAATTATAATTACTATAATTACTTGTGTTGAAAGTAAATGAAGTGAACAAATCCATATATATTTGTTGAAAATTTGTTGCAGTGGGTATCTTCCATTTGTTTTTCATGCTTCACACTGTGTATCTTTGAACATTTAATCAGAAACTAATTATAGGCAAGGATATACCGGGTGGCGCAAAAAAAAGTATAACTGTTTGATTACATATAGCTCAAAGACCATAAGCAGTAGAACCCAAAATCGAGTTTCATTGCATCCAGCGATGTCTAACTTAAATTTTGGTATATTCGACAGGTATTTTCGTCCAAGATTGACTGAGATATGAGTGTTTAAACTTTTGTTAGCAAATTTGAAACGGTCACAAATTAGCTAAAAACGGCCTATTAAACTGATTTTTAGCTAATTTGTGACCGTTTCAAAATTGTTAACAAAAGTTTAAACTCTTATATCTCAGTTAATCTTGGACGAATATCCCTGTCAAATATACCAAAATTTAAGTTAGATATCGCTGGATGCAATTAAACTCGATTTATGGTTCTACTGCTTATTGTTTCTGAGTTACAAGTAATCAAACAGTTGTACTTTTTTTTGCGCCACCCGGTATTTACTAGCTCATTACTCCATACTACCAGGTACATAACATATGCAAATTATACATCAACCTTGCAATCCATGCTTTAACCCCTGCAGTTGCCCCCTCTCCTGCAGATGTTTGGGAAGGGAGAGGAAGGAATGCAGGCACTGTAATTTCTATATTTAGCCCCCTTCTCTTCAAGCCCCTCTCCAATAACCTCCCCCCCCTCATTTGGATACAAAAATAAACAAGCCCCCCCCTCATTTAGATACAAAAATAAATAAGCCCCCCTCCTCTTTTAACCATGCAGTCCCCATTCAATTAATTCTTAAAATCATGAAATATATTGCATTTCTGTAGTATTTTAATAAAACAGTACAACTGTAACTCTGAATATGGACATTTTTTAATTAATGGTAACCAGACTTATTGCATATATTTAGAACAAGTGCCCCCTCAATGATGCTTAGGAAACAATAATATCCAGGAGTCTTGATACAGAAATTAAAGTTGTTATTTATATATAATTGGATTAATTGCCAATATATTCACATAGTATAATAGTTTGGAAATGGAATCAATACTTGTATATTTTTAGCAAATGAGCATTGTTATTGATCAACAATAACTCTTATTGCTATAAACAACATTGTTTCACATAGCAACAGACAAGGAAACATCTGTATTTAAATTCACTACTTATTTTTTATCCAGACACAAATTGATGAAAAAATTGTTTCGGGTTTGGCTTAGTTATAGCCTTACATTGGGCTATTCCATTTAATATCCCCCCCCCTGTCGAGGATCCCTGGAATTCTTCAGGGGTAAAGGGTCAAAAGCTTGGAATTCTTCAGCGGTAAAGTATTTTGAGCTTGGAATTCTTCAGGGGTAAAGTGTTTCGAGTTTGGAATTCATCTGGGGTAAAGGTTTTGAGCTTGGAATTCTTCAGGGGTAAAAGGTTTTGAGTTTGGAATTCTTCAAGGGTATAACCATGAAAAACATGTATCCTCGACAGGGGGTGTACCGATATTAAATGGAATAGCCCATCATGCTGTCAAGTGGCAATCATTTACAAAGCAAGTCTATAACCAAATGTTTTACAACCTGAGGAACTTCTTAAATCAATTATTCTATAATTTATACAGATGCTACAAAAACACCTGGCATCTTAAATTTATATAGATAACTCCATTTACAAAAGCACAAAGACCACAGACTACAACATGTTGAGTGTTGACCATAATGTACCGTATTGTTTAAAGCTTCAAGTTTTTAACACAAGCAAAAGCTGTCACTCCAAAGTCCTGGCAACAATATGTCAATTTAACAAAACAACGACAACGTGTGCGATGATTTCATTTCGCCAATTCTTTCATAGTTATAATGAATATACTTATACTGTACATCGATAAAAAGTCATTTATAAATACCATGCCATTTTGTAAGTATATACCCAAAGTCCCAATACTTTTTCATAGGATTAATATTATACTGCTTCGATTTATATTGTTTGATTTCGCATTCCAAATTTGATAAACATTTGATAATTCTCTCTTCGCGTATTTTCACGCGTAATTCTCGCAAAAAACACGTATTAATTGTGTCGGCAGTATTGATGATCACGGCAGCCAATCAAATAACGATTTCGATTCGATTTCCCCAGGGCATCAACTATTTCGCTGACCTCAGAATGACATTTCGTCAAAACTTTTTTCTTTAAGATTGGTTTAGAAACAAATTTGGCATAGGGTTAGGTTAGTTCTATGGGTTAGTATTAGGGTTAGAGTTGATGTTTGGAGTACGGTTAGTGTTAGTAAAACCGTTGCTTTGTTGCGTTTTGTCACTCCGAGGCCAGCGAAATAATCTCTTCCTTTCCCCAGAGTCATGCCACAACCTAACCCGCGAACAGGCATACTCTGGGAACGAGATTGCGTCGCGTCTAGCTCAAGCTGGGTTTCAAAATCATTCAAGACAGTAGGATCATCTGATTCATCTCGATTCACGAATGAAAAAAATCAATTCATTTATTATGATACTGTAATGTCTGTATATGTATTAATGATTTACAATGCTCAAATATAGACAATAGCATCATGTAGTTCTCATGTTTTTACTAAACGTTATTACGGACAATGTTTAAGCGAATAAAGCGATAAAAGTGTAATAACACTATTTATAGTTCTAATATTAAACTTACCGAGAAGTTTCAGAATTTGTGCTTCGTAAAGTTCCTTTTCGTAGTCGACCTCTACTTAAAACCAACATTACATACGTTTTGGTTGACGTGTAAGCGATAGATAGCTCATTGTATTGGTCTGATAGTAATGCGGGTCGAGTGATACTGTATTAGTCTGAGCTCTTCACTTCGACTTTAGCGAATATCGAATGTGGAAGCAGCTTTGATTTATACTGCAACTTTGAAAATCAGGCGATGAGTCACAGTCATTGCAACAAAAAGGCTGTTTCCTGGAGCCGGTTGTTCAAAGCTGGGTTAGCTTAACCCTAGGTTAACTTAAAATTCAAAGCAAACTTTCCAAGAGCTTGTTTGTAAATTTGGAAATATTTCTTCAGAGATGTTATCCGAATCAGTAGGAGCTTTTCTCTCTGAAGTTTTGAAATAAACAGACCGGCAGAAATACGTCAACTAAAACAGCAGGTTAAATTTTAACCGAAGGTTAGCGCTAACCCAGCTTTGAACAACCGGCCCCAGGACTTATAAAGGTATTCCACAGCCTAGTACCAGTCGTTCTGAAGCAAGCGCGAGAAAACGTGGATGTAGTACGAGACTGGGACCTAGGTGTGACGTCACCGCTAAAGGTGCTTCAGAACGCCTAGCAGATTTCAGTATTTTTAATATGGCGGAAAATTTATATATACAAATAACCTTGTATAAATACGACAATGTTCGTTGATCATGTTCAATGTCTCCATAACCAAATTCAAACTATATTAAAAATGTACTCAATTAAAAAATATATACAAATTTACGATACCGAGTCTGAGCAATGATCGTATAATCGTTGATGATATTTATATACTCGCAAGTTGTGATCAACACTAGACCATGATACTGGTATACACAATTACGCTTCTGGTTGACAGTTTTAAGTAGCTGAGGAGATTGGAAATATTTGCCTGACATGACTGTGTTGTCAAAACATTTTTAGTCGGAGACTCGGCATAATTTTCAAGCTTCTAGATATCATTTAATATGGCTTTATATTTTAGTAAACACAAGTCATATTTAGCCCGTTATTCCATTCTGACTGTATGGTAGCGAAACGTAGCCTATTTCATTGTTCCGGCAGCATTAGAGCAGAACTAATGACTTAATTATATAAACGCAAAGGAAATTTCCATAACATTTTCTATTTACAAATGCGGTATGCTTTGTAACCAGGCCAGGGACCACTTTTTTGAAATCAGGGACCATTTTACCGAAATCTGCTAGGCTCTCTCGCTGAAGCGTTCCGCACAGCACACCCAGGCATAAAACTTTTAAGACTCATTTAAATATATCAAAGCAGCGAATAGAGAGAGAGCCTGGGACTAGGCTGGGTATTCCATTAAGGGATTAAGACCGTACGTGGGCGATGTATGCAAATGTGTATCAGTGACATATCACCATGTGCATTTAATTTGTTTTGAAGTTATAAAGCTATATAGTGGCTCGAGTCGTAGTATATTTTATATGAAAGATCAAATGCACTATGTATACACTGTATGTTGTTATGACCATCTTCATTTTATAATTATTATATACTGATGAGTTACGGAGACATAACATTACTCAAATACAGAATTGCATATCAATTAATCGGTAATCTTCTACGGAGGTACAGTAAGTCATAAATTGGATAGCAAATTAACTTGTTGTGAGATATATAGTACTTGTTGTAGTCGCGATCTCACTTGGTTCATATGTGTTTATATTATACTTACATAGTTTATGTCCATAAATATTAGTTTATGTCTGCAAATTGTTTATGTCTGCAAATGTTATATAGTTCGTTTTTCCGATTATGTTAAGACTGCGTCCAAGCGGACGCGGGCGTTCTGGAGGCAGGACGCGGGCAGAGCAGACGCAAGACGCGGGCGTCGTGGAGGCCGGACGCGGGCGCTCTGGAGGCAGGGCGCGGGCAGAGTGGACGCAAGACGCGGGCGCTCTGGAGGCAGGACGCGGGGTTAAGTTATTTCTTGGCAGTACTGTAGGTGGAAACTTTAATGTGGGATGGCCAAACAAAAGGATATCATTTCACACATACGCAAAACATGCAGTTTGTACATAGTGGTGTTTTAGTAGTTTACTATCACCTTCAATAGCTTCTTGTGGCGAGTGTCCTCTACATTCAATCAAATATCTAATGGAAAAGATATGCAAAAATAGTAAACTCAATCCAAAAATTAAAAGTACGACTTACCCCAAATACGATTTTTTGTTGTAGGTGGTACTATGTGGGTCATCTAAGAAGAAATGTAACATATTTTTATAGTAAAAAAACCTCATCTTGATCAACTTTTTCACTGTCAAAGTTTCTAGACATGATGTCATTAGATGAATTGCAAATTAGTTTTCCTTTGTTTTTTGCTACAAAAATCATTCTAATGACATCATATCCGGAATCTTTGACAGTGAAAATATTTATAAAGATGAGGTTTTTAACTATAGATTTATTACATTTCTTCGTAGAATGACCCAAATATTACACATGAAAAAGGATCATATATTTGGCATAGTGGTTCTTTAAATAATAATAACAAATTGGTCTTAATTTCGTACTCCGAGCCCGTGATTAGAACTCTGATCGGCTCTGGGTAACGGTTGAATTTAGGTTCTCTCATGACCTTATTTGGTAAAAACACGTCATTGTCACATAGCAAGTTGTAATCATGCATAGCTAAGTTCTCTCTTATCGAAACAGTGAGCTTTATTAAACTTCTATAATTTATATTCTCGTACTCTGTTGAGCTTCGTTATTAGCATAATACTGTACTTACCTACACACAATATACCCAGCACGGTTTAGACCATGGGTACAATGAACTCCCACAACGGATGCTAGATGAATTAGCGAGAATAAAAATGTAATCTAATCAAAAGTAGAAATATGTACAGTATAAAGCACGGCTTAAGTACTGTGCTATTAATGTTCTGTATGAGTTGAGACAGAATATCGAGAAACTTGCCATGCAGTCGTCAAGGAAGAAAGTTTATGTCTGATCACCTTGCTAAGGTGAAAATTGCAGCTGAGGAACTAAGTCTTGCAATTTTGTATTGTCATGTGGTATACTGGATGAAAAACGATGACTGAGTTGGATTTTGTGTTTTGTTCCACCAGATTTTAAGTCACACAAGCGTTGTAGCTTTTCTTTGTGAAAATAATCATGAAGTGAGACGAATAAACTATACCTCACCCTCGATAACTACGCAGAGATGAATAACAACTTAGTCACCGACCTTGAGGTAACTAACAGCTGTACAAGCACAGGCGGAAAGATTTACATACCAGAATTTGGGAATTTCTTAAAAAATGTCAATAGAGTCGCTTTAAATCTAAAACAAAGTAAAGCGAATAAGACAAATCTAAACTAAAGATAACGCTTACAATTAACTTGTATGTCGTTCACAAAAAATATAATGAGGTCGCCAAGGTTTTAATATATCAAGGAACCGCCCCCATGCACTCTGAGATGATTCACGCCCTGCAGGCGCTGGATCTAAAAAGCAACAATCTCACAAGCAGGATCGTTGCTCGTTAGCTAGCATATATACAACCAATTGGGGGCAGTACTCTACTTGGAGAAGAATAGAAGCAAAATTAAGAAATTTCTTGTGTGCACTGAAAAACAATGATGGTTCACACAAAGAAATTTTTAGTGACTAAGCCTTCAGGTCCTCTGGTCTTCAAACCGCCATGGCCTAGGTCATTGCGTAACTATCGTGCCGAGTAGAACGAGTGAGGTGACGCAGTTTCAAGTGAAGTTTGTTCCACAGAGATGGTCACAGTGATGTGACAGACGTGCAAGCGTCGAACGGAGACATGTTGACACAATAAAGTGTAATTAAACGTACTGATAATGTAAGCTGCATAAAAGTCTGCCTTTCTTGTAGTTTTGGTAGGAACTATAATAGCGGGATCAGTTAAGCCATTATTTTGGGATCACAACAACCGAAACTGATCCAACTACAACAACAAAACATATCTCGCAAATTTTGGCATATACGTTTGTCGAAATATCTGATCACAAAATAACTAAAGATTATATTGTTTGTGATGTTATTCTGAGTGTGCATCCACACCGGGCAAGCTGAAAGGTTTGCCTGACCACGGTGCGAATCGAACCTGCGACCTTTGGGATAGTAGACCAATGCTCTACCAACTGAGCCACGGAGGTCAAGTCGGTTCAAGTTGGTGATATTTCGGAACAGGAATCTAGTTCCTTCAATATCAATGTATTCTAAGATATGATGATTTCTGTGTCTGTTGGTATTATGTATTCAGGTGAATATGTTGTTTCTGATGTTACTCTGAGTGTGCATCCACACCGGGCGAGCTGATGTTAGTATGGGCAAGATGAAATCATCATATCTTAGAATACATTGATATCGAAGGAACTAGATTCTGTTCCGAAATATCACCAACTTAAACCGACGTGACCTCGTGGCTCAGTTGGTAGAGCATTGGACTAGTATCCCAAAGATTACGGGTTCGATTCCAACCGTGGTCAGGCAAACTTTTCAGCTTGCCCAGCGTGGATGCACACTCACAGTAACATCACAAACAACATATTCATCTGAGTACATAACACCAACACACACAGAAATCATAAAAATTATCTGCATGTTATATCGTGATTGAAGTGGTTAACATTCCTGTAATCTATACACTCTAGCCTGCGCGCAGTCTCTCGTGTGCGGCTGCCCGCAGGCTGCTTGGCTTATACCATGAGAGGTAGTAGTGTACAGGACTTGTTAACTTCTGCGTAGTTTACTCTTCACCAAAACAGAATTATATACTGTATACTGTACTTGTGAACGACTTTTTCTGGTGGTACAATCTTTCCTTCACATTTGATTTTTTTGTATTCTATTTCACGCTTTGTAAACTCCTAGGAAAGTAAACAAAAACAGTTCACAAAAAGAAAATTACGGGATAATGTAGAATTACACGAAAATAAATTCACCTGAAATTTCTTGTCAGTGCCAGTGCATGCATGTTAATACATTGCAGTCACGATGATAAGATTTTTATATATAGTCGTACCTGACTGGTACTATATAATGACTATTGCCTCGTACTTGAGCTGGTACAAACTTAAGACTGAAGGTGCACTCCTTGAAATGATGCATGTACATAAAAGTATCCAGTAACCTGCAACTACATGTTAGAACGAGAAGGACGACAATTGCATACACAAACACTAGAATTGGCTCCCACATTCGTTAGTCCCATCAGTTCAGTCACGTAATAATATTTATAATATAGCATTTGTATGCTGCTGTTGTTAATCTTGTTGTCAAAATTTTTATGTTGTGTTCAGTCACGTAATAATATTTATTATATAAACATAAGTGTTATATAGAAATTTTGGCCACTGAGAAAAATCGTATTTAAACACACGTAAAAAATACGATATTTTTACGTGTGAAAATATCATTTGTTGTAAAACGCATTGCCACGGACGTTTTATTGTTATTCACTGAATTTTGTTTATATAATAGACAGAAAAATACATGGGTGCTTGGAAATACCAGATTTATTTCTCGTGTTGAACATGATATCTCACTCGTTCGCTGCGCTCACTCGTGAGATATCATGTTCAACACTCGAAATAAATCTGGTATTTCCAAGCACCCATGTATTATTCTCTATTTATAATAGCATTTGTAAATTCTGAACGCTGATTGGCTATAAGAGCCGTGTTGATATAACTCAATGTCAACACGGAAACGTCGGAAAATTTCTTTCTTTATATTTCTTTGTGCTATATTATAAAACAAATATAAAACATTTTTTCCCGTATTGATATATAGTTATATCAACACTCGTGGAAATTGGGACAATTTCTCGTTTTCCCAATTTCCATTCGTGTTGATATAACTGTATATCAACACGGAAAATGTTTCATATTTGTTAAATATTTTGCATCTTAGAATTCATTAAAGTGAATGTGGGCTAATGGTCGGTCGCAAGCATGCTATTCTCAATCAATAATACTTTAATTATATATTATTATGGCAGACTTTGTTGTTCCGTTTTTCGTGTTGTAATGTGATGTTGTGTAGTTTGTAATTAGTAGTGAATCTTATTTCCGCCATACTGGTCTTAAGAGCGGTTGTCTGTAATAGTCAGGTAAGACGTGTAAAATGAGAAAATTCAAAATCTTTCAAACTTTGTCAGAATATAGGCCTATATGAAGTATTAATGTTGTGAAAGTTTTATTTCGATCGGATAAATATTGAAGGAGAGAGACGTCGAAATTGGTTTTCCCAGGCCACTTTCGATTTTTAGAGGTCATTTTACGGCACTACCAAAATCGCTCTATTTTGCACGTTAGTGGGAATATTTCACAAAATATGATTTCGTTTTACAAATTAGAGATATTTATTGATTAGCAGACGAAATTTAGAGACATTTCTGTAAAAAGTGAATATTTTACAGATTTTTTTAATGTTTTTTATTTTCGAACCTCTTTATTATATGCCATATTAGGCTGCAAATATCTCCATTGTTACATCGATTCAGACAAAATATTCATAACCAGATCAAAGAAATATGTTTTCCCTTGCTATTGATCAAATAAAATTTTTGGGCAACTTAAAATTGAATTTTTAACGAATTTTTTCGTAACCCCTATTTGACCGGAATAACCGTATGTTAATATAATCAGCGTCGAGTCATGTAGTTCAATAAATAACCAAAGAGCTCGTCAAAAGCGTTTATTTCTTCGAGTAAACAAGCCTAGGCCTATAAAACTACCTTAGCTAAAGCTGTACGATTGGCTGAAAGCATTTAGGTTTAAATCACACTGTTTACAGTCGCTTATTGTTCAGCTAATGCCCGATACTCGATGCCGCTGATTTGGCAGATTTGGTTTCAATTATATTTTATCAGGGATATGCCGCGATAAGTATAGCGAGTATATTTTCTCTCCCCCTCCCATAAACTCGTGTTCTCACATAAATATAGTGCACACGTTTTTTGTAAAAAACATAGGCCATTTGCAAGGTCATACGATGCAAACGTCGCATTGTTTCAGGACGTTTTTTTAGTCGTATTTCCGGTTGGGATAGCTCACGCGATTGTCTGAACAAAAATATAGACTAGCCATACCTTTCGCCGAAAATAACTTCGACCCCTTCAAACATATCGTCTTTGTAATAGTCTTGTTCGAATCCCCATCAAAAACACTATTTAGATTGTTATTTGCAAGCCTGTATCTTCAAATTTGCATCTTTTATCACGGTATTTCCATTTCTTGTCCGGCTGTGAGCTCGAGGCTCGAAGTAATTTGATAGTATACGATCGCATTTGACTTTCAAACTCCCATAAATCGCTACAATGTTAATAATGACTATTGATTATTGTTAATAATTAGTTGATCTTTTATTTCTTAATCGAATGGTGGTATTTCTGTCTTCATAGGCATAGCATGTACTGATCCGAAGATATGAAATTTCTAGCCGTCAACCTCTCGAGGACGACCTCGCAAGGAGTTTTAATTTAATTAATTAACTGCCCACGTATTGAAATGAATTCCGTCTTTGTGGATAAAAATTAGTTATAAATAATCTCTCCTGTATGTGTTAAATGCTACATGTAGGGATTTCCCCCGGTTAAAAAATTCGGCCCCCTTCCTTTTCGGGGGCCCCCTCAAAATGTTTTCTGGTAAAGCAAAAATGTTACAGTAAAATGTAAAGGGTGGTAGGGGGGTGGGTGGGTGGGGCGACGTTTTTTTGGGAAAAACGTTCCAAAAATTATTTTTGCGATAATGGGGGGTTCAAAATACTTTTCAGACCTTTTTCGACCTCAATTTTAGAACACGTTGCGCAATTCCAGCATTCCGGGACCCCCTCTGGGAAAGTTGGGCCCCCTTTCAAGTTGACTTTTTTGGCCTGAGAACTGCCTGAGTGTTCTAGATGTATCATCCAGAAATGGTTGGATAAATGTAATTGAAATTGGACCAAAAGTATATGTCAGATAACGCGTAACCACAAACGGCCATACAAAAGAGAAGAAATATACCGGGGGAAATCCCTACATGTAGCTTAACACAAACAGGAGAGATTATTTATAACTCATTAATTTTTTCCACGAAGACGGAATTCATTTTGTAAACCAACTATTTATTTCATGGATAACTCACACGTACACGTTGTCTTTATCTTCTTGCTGTTTTAAAAGTGATGGCCAGTTAATAAGTAACAGTGCGTAGAAGTTTGGTCTGAAGTTTGACCAAAGTTATTGAGCAACAACAAAATAATCAAATATACAAGACATACAACTGTAGTAAATATTACCAAATCATAAATCAACAGCGGGTCTTTTTTAAAAATAGAAAAGACACCTTTTGGCATGACATCACGGTGAAAGAATCCAGCTTTAATATTAATTAAATTAACTACTGTAAGTAAACGAATTACAATTTCAACGTAAAATGACCGATGTTTTTGACAAAAAGCGCGTGCACTATTTATGTTCGAAAAGTTATAAGCACGACGAGTCGTGAAAGAACAGATGTTTATGGGAAGGGGAGAGAAAATACACTTGCTATACTTATTGCGGCATATCCCCGATAAAATATAATTAAAACCAAATCCGCCAAATCAGCGGCGCCGGCTATACAATATATTATAGGCATTACCTGAACAATAAGCGACTGTAAACAGTGTGATTTATACCTAAATGCTTTCTGCCAATCGTACAGCTTTAGCTAAGGTAGTTTTATTGGCCTAGCCTTGTTTACTCGAAGAAGTAAAGGCTTTTGACGAGCTCTTTGGTTATTTATAGAACTACATGACTCGACGTTGATTACATAACATACGGTTATTCGGGTCAAATAGGGGTTACGAAAAAATTCGTCAAAAATTCAATTCTACGTTGCCCCAAAATTTTATTTGATCAATAGCAAGCAAAAACATATTTCTTTGACCTGGTTATGAATTTTTTGTCTGAATCGATGTAACAATGGAGATATTCGCTGCCTAATATGACATATAATAAAGAGGTTCAAAAATAAAAAACATTAAGAAAATCTGTAAAATATTCACTTTTTACAGAAATGTCTCTAAATTTCGTCTGCTACTCAATAAATAACTCTAATTTATCAAACGAAATTATATTTCGTGAAATATTCCCATTAACGTGCAAAATAGAGCGATTTTGGTAGTGCCGTAAAATGACTTCTAAAAACCGAAAGTGGCCTGGGAAAACCAATTTCGACGTCTCTCTCCTTCAATATTTATCCGATCGAAATAAAACTTTCACAACATTAATACTTCATATAGGCCTACATTCTGACAAAGTTTGAAAGATTTTGAATTTTTTCATTTTACACGTCTTACCTGACTATTACAGACAACCGCTCTTAAATGCGTTGGTATTATTTTTGTATTTTGTTTACATCATGTTCTCTGAGATTTATAAACAGGTTTTTTTGTCTAGCCAATCACATCACTTCATGCATGTGACTGCTAATTATAACTAACCAATCATGCGCTTAGTGCAAATTTTGTACTAAAGGAAGAGAAATTTGTATCGCGTTCCACCAGAGGTTCTCTTCGCCTCGCGTAAAATAAATACGAGCGGGAATAAGGCGAAAGATACAGAACCTCTGACAACCAGGGTACTAGAGCTATAACATTTTATAGAAACAGCTATAACATTTTATAAGGACAGCTATATATCGAACATCTACATACGCTAGGTCGTACTTGGTAAGATCGAGACGAGTTTGGAATAAGCTACCAAACGAAATGCGCAGGAAGTCCATCTCTTTGGCTACGTTTAAAACTTTGCTTAAACAATATTACAGTAACGCTCTGAACTTGTGTTATGACACTGAAGATGGGAGGACATGGAAGACAGTTTGCGTTAAGTGTAATACTGCCCGTAACCTCTTGCCCGCTCTTTCTTGTTGTTTTTAATGTTTTTGTTGAATACGTTTGTCTTAATGTTTGTTGTATGCCTGTCAGTTGTATAATTGTTGTTTTGTCCAATGTCCATACACTTATTGTGTTGTATTTCTGTATCTAAACCATGTGTACGCGGTGGCGCTTCAGACGGTCTTTGTGTTGTTTACTATAGCTGTTTACTGTTTAAATGGAGTTGAAAAAGTCTAACTTATATCAGCACAAAGGTCTCTGCAACGTTTCCGGCCGCACATGGTCTTTATATGTTTATATAGATCTATTTATCATGTAATGGTTCCGCAGTAATTGGCCTAAGCTGTTGCGGTTTCCAGTCGCTAATTTAAGGCAAAGTGTTAATAAATTTTGATTTTTTTAGATATTAATGAATGCTCTGGAACAAAATTCACTTGTCACCCAAATGCAGCATGCATCAATACTAAAGGCTCATACATTTGTCAATGTAAAGATGGATACGAGGGAGTTGGAAAAACGAACTGCACAGGTATGAAGTTTTTTACAAAAACAAGATACCTTTTCCTTTCAGTCAATCATAAACGACAAAAAATAGTGACACTCAACCTACATAACATGCTATAGCATCATTAATCTCTATTGCTGTCACGTTTTAGGAAAAGTTACTATTTTTAAACACTCGTAATTTTTTATTTTCTTGTATTTTTTTTCTGGACAAAATTAGCAAATTTAAGCATGAAATACAATGTGTTTATATTGTTACGTAATGTGTCCATTGTTTCGTTTTGTTTTTGTCGTTTGATCATCTCTTGTAAAGTATAGGTCTCTAATATACTATAATATTGTAGTTATTTAATGTTGTCATAATGTATGCATGTAACCTTTTGTAGCATAGAATAGCCACAACGTGGAAATGCTATTAAATCATTATTATTATTATTTATTATTATTATTATTATTATTTTAAACTTAATCCGAATCCAAACCCTAACATTAAACCTAATCATAAACTTAATCTTAACCACTACTCAAATCCTAACTCCCATAATCCAGACCATATTCGTAACCCTATAAAATTCTAAAAATAGTAACTGTTCGTAAGCTGTGCCTCATATGCATATTAACCTCCTAACCAACAGTTACGATCACTTATTCAACTAACTCGTATTTTAACAAATGCAGCAGTCACGGCTAAAGCCACAATATTTTTATAATTTTAGACACTGACGAGTGCTCTAAGGAAAATTTCACTTGTCATCCAAATGCAACTTGCCTCAATACTCAAGGATCATACTACTGTCAATGTAAAGACGGATATAAGGGGTTTGGGAAAAACAACTGCACAGGTATAAAGTTCTTGTTAAAACACAACACATTTTTCAGTCAATCACGAACGAAAAAAAATCAACTTACGTACATTATAGGGTATAGCATCAACCTCCTAACCAACAGTTACGGTCACTTATTCAACTAACTCGCATTTTAACACATGCAGCAGTCACGGGTAGTGCCATAATATTTTTATTATTTCAGACATTGATGAATGCATTAAAAGAAACTTTACTTGTCATTCAAATGCAACTTGCCTCAATACTCAAGGCTCATACATCTGTCAATGTAAAGACGGATACGAAAGCTTTGGAAGAAAGAACTGCACAGGTACAAAGTCTTTTATCAAACAAAATGCCTCTTTCTTTCATTCAATCATAAACGACAAAAAATAGCGAAATTCAACCTACATTACAGGCATTAACCTTTATGCTTGCCACGTTTTAGGAACAGCTGCCACTTTTAGAATTTTGTAATTTTCTATATTTTGTATTTTGAATTTAACCCTAACACAAACCTTAACCCTAAACTTAATCCTAAACTTAACTATAACTCTTATTCTAATCCTGATACTAATCCTCATCTTACTCTTTATCCTAACCCTAATTCGAACCTTATATAATCCAAACCTTATTCCTAATCCTAAAAGTCTAAAAATAGTAACTTCTACTAAATTGTGCCTCATATGAATATTAACCTCCCATAACCAACAGTTACCGTCGCGTATTCAACTAGCTCGTATTTTAACAAATGCAGCAGTCACGGCTAAAGGCATAATATTTTGATTATTTCAGATATTGATGAATGCTCTATAGGAAACTTCACTTGTCACTCAAATGCAACTTGCCTCAATACTCCAGGCTCATATAACTGCCAATGTAAAGACGGATATGAGGGATATGGAAAAAAGAACTGCACAGGTATAAATTTCTTTACAAAAAAATACATTTTCTTTTCAGTCAATTACAAACGACATAAAAGAAACTCAATCTACAATATAGGCTACATATATTAAGATAACTTATTCTCCTAACTCGCATTTTGACAAATTCATTAGTCACGGCTAGAACCATAATATTTTGACTATTTCAGACTTTGATGAATGCTCTGAAGGAAACTTCACATGTCATCCGAATGCAACTTGCGTTAATACTCCAGGCTCATACATCTGTCAATGTAGAGACGGATACGTTGGGAATGGGAAAAAGAACTGCACAGGTAAAATGTTCTTTATAAAACAATTTTTTTTTTAATTAATCATAGACAACAAAAAATAGCGAAACTTAATTAACCTACATTATAGGCTATACACAATTAACCTCCTATATAACCAACCGTCAAGGTTGCTTGTTCTCCCACCTCGTATTTTAACAAAAGCAGTAGTTCCGGCTTAGAGCCATGATATTTTTACTATTTCAGACATTGATGAATGCTCACCAGGAAACGTCAATTGTCACCCAAATGCAACTTGCATCAATACTCAAGGGTCATACAATTGCCAATGTAAAGACGGATACAAGAGGTTTGGAAAAAAGAACTGCACAGGTATAAAGTTCTTTACAAAACAAAATACTACAAAACAAACTTTTCTCTTTCAGTCAATTACAAACGACAACAAAAAACAAAGCTCAATCTACATTATAGGCTAAAGCATTAACCTCCTCACAAAGAGTTACGGATATTTATTCCACTAACTCGTATTTTAACAAATGGAGTAGTCGCGGCTAGAGCCATAATATTTTGACTATTTCAGACATTGATGAATGTCTGGAGGAAACTTCACTTGTCATCCAAATGCAACTTGCATCAATATTCAAAGCTTGAAAACAGAACTGGGGAAATTGTCCCTCATAAAGAACACGAAATAGCGAAATTCATTAGTAGCATTAACCTGCACTTGTATTATACTTAACAAATATAAAACATTTCCGTGTTGATATACAGTTCTATCAACACAGGTGGAATTGGGAAAACGAGAAATTGTATGGAAACACGACGCCCGAAGGGCGGAATGTATTCATATAATTTCGAGTTTTCCCAACTTCCACGAGTGTTGATATAACTATATATCAATACGGAAAAAATGTTTTATATTTTTTTTATAATATAGCAATGTCAAAAGCCCGAAGAATGAGAAAAAATTCCGTGTTTAGAAGCGGCGGAAAATTTCCCGTGTTGATATTGAGTTATATCAACACGGCTCTTAGCCAATCAGCTTTTAGAATTTACAAATGCTATACAGGGTGTATAAAAAAAAACTGAACAGATTTAAATTTGCTCTCAATTTCGCAAAACAGCTATTTGTATCTGGTTTTTTATATATATAGCTTCTTTGGGTACTTATAATGTAAAATAATGAAAAAAATTTCTCGAACTCAAATTTTGTGAACCAGGGGTGTGTGTCTTTTCCAACGAACTAAAAATGGCTCGCGCACAAAATTTGAAAGCTGCAATCATATTTTGAGTTAACAGATGGAAAATTTGTCGGGATTTTAATTACTGTACAAAATTTCAGACAATTTGGTTTAGTTTAAGCCCCTTAACTATTCACGCAAAGTTACAATTTTCCCGAAAAATCAGCTATTTGCATGCTTAATTAATGCATTTGCCTAATTTGCATATGTCAGCAATATGTAAATTAGGTAACGGCATTAATTAAGGGGGTCTTCCACGCTAAAAACATTTTTTTCAATTTTTCAATTTTTCAAGGTTTTATCATCATATTTGAGTCAAATATGATGGAATATCCTCAGCTGACGCACAATCAGTAACTTTTACATTCGTCGTTGCCATAGTAACTAAGATAGGCCTCGCAATAGGGTAAAATCTAGGGTTTGCTCCAAAAATGATGTGAGCCAAACTAATTTACCGAGAATTTTAGAAACAGCTTTAATGGACACTTAATACATCGATCTATGTCATGAACCTAAAAAAATATACAAGTAATATAATAAGGCCTTCATATTTACTTTTTTAAAATTATATGAAGAAAGGAGTTCTTATAAGGCTACTCTCGCAATGTATTTTGCTGATATATGAAGTTTTTTAGGTCCATGACATGGCTATGTAACAAGCAAATAAACTCTGAAAATTTCGAACGAATTGATTCAGTATGAACAGTAGGAGAGTTTTTAGTATTTCGCAAAATGCTCATGTGAGAAAAGCGATTTTAAAGTTTTTGCATATATTAGAATAACTTAGATAGAACAATATAATTGAAAATGGAACAATAGACTAAACCAATCGCATATCTTTATCGCTCCGGGTAAAATCGTAGTTTTACCCTACGAAGGTGTAGAATTTGCTGGATTTCTCTGGTTTACGGTACATTTTCGTTCTTAAAATTACACGGATTTCATAAAGAACGCTATGAAGACTACATTTTTACGTTTTTCTAAAAAATAACGAATATTGGAAAATTTGGGTGGAAGACCACCTTAAGCATGCGAAAGGCTGACTTTTTAGAACAAAATGATTAGCTAAAGGGCTTAGACTAAACCAAATTGTCTGAAATTTTGTACAGTAATTCAAAACCCGACAAATTTTCAATCTATCAACTCAAAATATGATTACAGCTTTTAAATTTTGTGCGTGAGCCATTTTTAGTTTGTTGGAAAAGACACCCCCCCCCTGCTTCACAAAAATTGAGTTCGAAAATTTTTTTTCATTATTTTACATTATAAGTACCCAAAGAAGCTATATATATAAAAAACAGATACAAATAGGTGTTTTGCGAAATTGAGAGCAATTTCAAATCTGTTCAGTTTTTTTTTATACACCCTGTATTATAATGACATTTACCACACAGTAGTCAAAGATAAACAAATTTAAACTATAATATTTTGACTATTTCAGACATCGAAGTTCACCTTGAAGGAAACTTCACATGTCACCCAAATATTTAAACAACTTTAAGAAGAAATTAATATATAATTGCCCGAGAAAAATCTTTTATCTTCATTAACTTTTTACCTTCAAACCTGCCGCTTGTGATATTGTTAGATGAATTTCGAATTATGTATATTTTCCTTTCTTTATTTACTGCTGCAATTTTCTTGATAACGTCATACTTCGTAAGTAGCAGTAAAGCACTAGCTTTAAATACACATATAAAACATATATTACATATCTTTCAAAATATTTAAAAAATCAAAATTTCATAATCGTACCATTACGGTTGGGCTTGGAACGTTTGCAGGTTGTCAATCTTGAGTTATGTTACTATTAGGTTCAAGTTGATGCAATTTGGTTACAGTAAGGTTTGGAAGTTGCATGTGTCTGAGTAAGTTGGATTTTTTTCTTGTCTAAAACAACACGACATTGGCGAATTCACATTATGGAGGGTCCTGAAGGGGGGGGGGGGGGGGGTGCCAATCCCATTTCCCACCTGAAATTTTGGCAAAATCCCAGTCCCAGTTGGATTTTTATTAGAAATCCCAGTCCCAGTTATTGAAATCCCATTCGATAAAAAACCCTTTATTTATCGGTAGAACAAACAGTTTTAAGACCTTTTAAGCAACTGGCGGACACTTTATGAAATATTGGGGGCTCGTGCCGAAGGCACGAAAAATTTTTAAATTTGAATCCCGGAAATGGCATTTGCAGCATTCTGAGACACGCATAATCAGAAAACCCAAAATTCCGGGCGGCAGAGTATGCCTGTTCGCATGCAGTGCTGTGAATAATATAGTTAACAACAAAAATCATGACCAAAGACACCAAAAATGGATCAAAATTGTATTTTAAAATAGTCAAAACGCAGAAAAATTGGGAATCGACTCGCATTACCTCAATCCCAACCTCGTACCCAGGGCTTCTGCGCTTATTGCTCTCAGAAGCCCTGGGATAATCCAAACCGGAACACCATAGAACATTGGTGCCCACGGAAGCGGAAGTAAACAGTAGCTCCAGCTAAAAACGCTGACTGGGCATATTTTTACGAAAGGAGTGAGAATGGATTATTTGTTGCAATTTATGATATATTTGGACTTGTAAAGACGTCTTAAACTGCTTCTCGCGTGGCTTTTGGAATTTAAAGTCAGGAATGATCAATTTAGAGATACAATTGTGCGTAAAATAAGCCCTTTGGCGAGCAAAAGAACATCTTATATCGCGACAACAGCATACCTTGTCAGCGATATACAGGGGCTATTCAATAATTAAAGTATAAATATTTATATTCGAGTACAACCTTGGTCATTTCAAAATCAACAGACTAGAAATCTTACTGGTAACATGGCTGGCTGCCGATTATCTTGGATTTGAGGATTTTGAACAAGATATTGCAAGATTTAATTATAAATACACAAGATATACTGTAAACATGCATCCACTTGAAGATTGTAAAATGAACAGTGATGAGTGATGTAATATAATTCTGTACTTATTTGGAGAACCTTTTTGGCAAATCTTGAGAATAATGGCTTTGGGAATCAATGTTGAAAATTAAAAACGGTCAGATAGCTGCATGGACAGCAATTGGTTAGAAGCATACATGTCATCGGATGAAACTCCAACTTTTGTTAATTGCCAACTGAAATACATTTTAATTAATGACAATTGATATTCTAGTATTGGAATGGACAGTGTTATAAGAACCAATGGTGCTGAACTAATTTGGGTTTATTATAAAATATTGTTTATCATTTAGTTCTGCTTTTTATTTTACAGCATATGATTTTATATGCTGGGATAGATCACTGGTGCTCAATGGATTATTTCATAATACACACTAGTTTGTTAACATACTCTGTCTAATTATGCTAACACCACTGGCAATGGAATTGAGCAGTGATGTAGCCAGGATTTCTAATCAAGGCCTTGAAGGGGGACTGAAATCCCCAGCAGGGGCCTGCACTAGTTTGAATAAGTTTGTTATTATGTAAAAATGTATTTGGACTCCCAAGCTATCCATGTATAATATAGTACAATGTACTCTTTTTAAGTTCTAGTTGGTAAACTGCCATTTTTTTTTGGGGGGGGGGCTATTTTAATGTGTTTTGGTGATTTGAAATAACCATTCAGTTAACACATGTTCAACTCTACTTAATTGCAAACAAGTGTAATTGCAAACAACCCCCCTCCCCCTCTGGTTACACCAGTGGAATTGACTTGAGCCTTTTAGACCTCTGGATTTTAGTTGCAACTTAGAACAGTATTCTGATGAGTTGTGTTTGTAAGAAAATTTAAAATTTGTGCAAAAGCATTTCTCAAATGGGTCGTTCCAGAAAAGATCCACATTCCCCCCACAGAGGAAATTTCTGCCGTCTGGAGGGGGAAGGGGGAAAAAATTGTTTCTGATAATAGTAAATGTATTAGGACATCCAAAGGGGTAGGAGGGATTAACTTTCAATTTCCTCTGTGGGGGTGGTATGGATGTTTTCTGGAATGTCCCAATATAACAGTGTTTTTTTTTCAAATCTAATCAAGATGTCAAATTGTCAATCCTTGTACATGGGGAGGGGAAATTTTGGAGAAAGAAAAATTGTGACGGATCCGGTTGGGGGTCCACCTGTAGGCCTGGCCATAGGCGTACAGGGCGTGGCCCGATTGTTGGGCAGACTAGGCCAGTCGGGCAATATTTACTTCACAGTTGGGCAATATTGGCTTATTATAATTTAAATAAATACGAGAAATTATTCCCTCAATATTGGGGAAAATATGCTATATAATAGTCGAAAATTTAGTTCATTTTGATTAATAGTCATTTAATATATGTGCTATCAAAAGTTTCTTTATGGTATTAAGTAACAGATTACAATGTTTGTACATTAGAGATTTAGAGGCACTAATAACTCAATAATAAATATGGACAATGTTTGTACATTAGAGATTTAGAGGCACTAATAACTCAGTAATAAGTAGGGACAAATATGAACTCTGAGGCAGTGCACCCAGCATCCTCAAATTGGGAATAATTTGCAAATTTAAATATTTGTGTATAATTAATAATTTATCCTATTCCAATACAAAATGCAATAATATAGAACACACAATTTATCAAAGAAAGGTAAAAAAGGTATGAAAAACTTTATTATGTAATATTTACATTGAATATCGTGGTTGAAGTTGTAGATTTATACTTGAAATTTCAATATTTTTCGAACGAGAAATGTTTTGCTTTATTATCTTAAAGTTTTTACTTTGTTCGCCATTCTTGCTTATTTACAAATACAAATAGTCCATTTCTTCTTTTGCGCTTTTCAAAATAGCCCAGAATTTGGCTTAAAAAAGTATTTTCATGCAAAAACAAGCATTTAACTTTTGTATACACTCCTTGTGGGAGCAGCCATGTTGCCAAAATATCACCCGGTTAATAAATAACTTCGGTTAGTTCGGTACTTTCATTGTATTCGCATTGACCAATCAAATCACGTTCTGAGTTGGATTATCCCAGGGCTTCTGAGAGCAATAAGCGCAGAAGCCCTGGGTACGGGGTTGCCTCAATCCCATTCCCATTTTTGAGGACTTCATTTCCCATTCCCAGTGGCCAAATCCCAGTCCCAGCAACCCCAATCCCATTTTCCCAGTCTAAAAATAGATCAATCCCAGTTCCCATTTTACCCCTTCAGGGCCCTCATTATGGCATTAACGTCCGTGATATTACGTGATAGAGTGAGTAGTAATAGACCCCCTCTAGGGACGAAGTAATTAGTGTGCAAAATATAGGAACGGAAGTAATTAGTACGTAAGTCTAATTTAGTATCGGAGGTAATTAGTACACAAGGCTACTCTGGCATGTCGAAATAATTAGTATCCAAGGCTACCACTATAGCAATGGTGGTAACCCTAGATTTGCACGCCTGAAGGCATTTCAGAGGCTAATATGATTAATTATTCATCAAGATGACTTATCTCTATATCGACTTATGATGATGAGTACTCCTTTGAGACTCTTTAACCCCAGTGCAATGACGCCACAAGGCAAACCTCGCCCAAATGTGACAGGTAACGCCACCAAGCACAATGAGGTAACGCGACCGGTGACATTTTCCGAAAGACACTTTGCCGAAAGACATTTTGCCGAACGGACATTTTGCCGAACGGACAGTTTGCCAGAAAATAGACATGCTATTTCATCAAAATGTTTGGGATTGTGCCTCATTTTTCAACTTTGTAATTCTCAACCATTGTGTGAAATAACCATTATATGGTCACTAGCAGTGCATAATCGGTCGTTAGCAGTACATAACCTAATAACCCGAATAAACCATATTGACTATTGGTGTTTGTGCAGCGGATGACTCATTTGTTAGGAACGTATTTCGACGTCAGGTTGTAAACAAACAAGCGTATACAAAGACAACGACGTAAGCCATGCCTTTTTCCTCAAATAAGGCACCGGCATTAGATAAAGTCCCAATGAGTATTATCAAAGATGCCTTACCATGTATCCTCCCGACGTTAACAGATATTGTTAATTGTTCATTGCTTACGTCCGAATATCCAACATTATGGAAGATGGCAGAAGTTGTTCCCCTCTTAAAAGATGGGGATTGTGAGATCGCAGACAATAATCGTCCTGTGTCTTTGCTAATTGCAGTATCAAAGATTTGTGAACAAGTTGTATTGAATCAATTGACTGAATATATGTCACAAAGGAAAAGATATACTGAACACCAAAGTGGCAATCGAAAATTACATTCTACAGAAACATTAAACATTTTTATAACAGATCAAATCTTGCAGTCTATGGATCGTAAAGAAGTTACGGTCTTAGTTTTAATAGACTTATCCAAAGCATTTGATAGCATAGATATTCAATTCTACTAGTGAAACTTCAAACCATTGGTGTGTCTAAATCAGTGTTGGCATGATATAAAAGTTATCTATCGGGACGAAGCCAAATAGTACGTATTCGGTCGACATTGTCGGAAACATGTATTATAACTCGAGGGGTACCTCAAGTATCTATTCTTGGGCCGGCATTATTTAACATATATATTAATGACCTGCCCAATGTTCCAAAAGAGTCCTCTTTGGAATCTTATGTGGATGGCATTTCTAATTCAGGATATTGAAACTGCTGCGTTTAAACTTACACAATATATGGAAAGAATTACCGCATGGTGCTGTATAAATAGTGTGCTAGTGAATCCAAAAAAAACGAAACATCTATTACTGGGTACAAGTCAAATGCTGAAAAAACTCTCTGGCACAGATTTCCATATAACTATTCTTGGTGAGAAAATAATCCCACTTCAGACGGTTAAATATTTGGGAATGACTTTGGATTCAAGTTTGACTTACGACAAACGTATTGTCGATACCGTCTCAAAATGTATCACTGAATTATGCCAAATCAACAGAGTTAAGTATATTTTCGACAAACACACTTTATCCCTTATTATAAATGCACTGGTCTTCAGTAAAATGTATTATTGTTCCTCCGTTTGGTCGAACACCTCGAAAAAGAATATATCACAACTCCAAAGCGTGCAGAACTTCGCGGCACGCGTTATTACTGGAATCAGAAAATATGACCATGTGACGCCTATCCTTCACCAGTTAGCTTGGCTTCCAGTTGAGTGTATGTTAAAACTCAGGGATGCGGTTATGACATTTAAGTGCTTGAAATGGTTAGCTCCGCCATACTTGTGTGACAAATTCGAAATGAGATTAAAGATCCACAGTGTTAACACCAGAAATAAGGATAAGTTAGACATTCCACTTCATAATTCGGCTTCTGGACAGCAAACGTTTCATTATCGCGCAGTGTCTATTAGGAATGAGCTCGCCCAAATCATGTTAAAGACATTGACACTTTGGACCGGTTTAAAATAGAATATAAACGTCATTTATTGTAAGGGTTATTAGAAAGTATTTAATAGTTTTAGACAATTTGGACTTGTTTAAATTAGCATATAAACGTTTTTACTGTATGGATTTTATTAGGAAGTAGTTAATCATTTTTAAAGTGACATTACTAATAATTATAAAATTTTTAATTTGTGTTTGTATGTATGTACGTATGTTTGTGGGTGTATATATATATATATATATATATATATATATATATATATATATATATATATATATATATATATATATATATATATATATATACTGGGTGTCCCAAAAAAAAGTACTCCGGTTTGATTTATAATAACTTCTAAACAAGTAAAGCTATCAAACAGAAATAACTTGCATTAAATAGAGGAAGGACTAACTTAGATTTTGATATATTACAGTTGTATTTTGCTTAAAAATTGACGGAGATATTAATGTTCAAAATCGGGAGCATATTTTGGTATGTGTCTAAAATTAGCGAAAATCGGCATATCAAATATTAACTCCAGCGTTTGTTTGCTTAATGACATATCAGGCTAACTGGTATTTCAGCGAATTGTCGTTAGGGTTTGTAAGGGATATAGCGTAGATTTAGACATCTTACATGTAAGTCTTAGCTCGTTGTTTCCTGAAATATGAACGTTCAAAATTATGAAAGTATTTAATAGGTCTTTGGCTTTGCAAACTTGAAGGTACATGAAAGACCTTGAAGGCAGGCGCTTCAATTTTTCTTAAACAGCCTAACTTTTTTATGTTTCACATGGGTTCAAAACAAAGTTGATTATTTCTCGGTTAGGGCAGGATGAATATTATTATTTAATGAAGGAAATAATATTGCTTTTTGCAAATACACATCAAAGTATCAACGCTACTATTTTGTTACGTTTTGTTCCAAAAATGTTGGATGTCTCTGGGGAGTTGTTTGTTATGTCTTTAATTATGGAGTTGTATGGTTTGATCGTGTTTTATTCTCAGTTTATTCTGAACTTGCCAAGATTAAGAAAGGAAAAAGAGTTTGGGTGTTCTTAATTAACAAGATTTCAGAACGTTGCAGAAGTTAGAAAATTCATTCAATGTGAAGTTAGAAAATTCACAATTCCATTGTGACAGCATGCCCTAATTCAGAACTGCAAACGATCCATGACGATCCTTCGCGATGCAGTGGTCTCATGAAATAAGGAAACGTATTCGTGCTGGGAACACATGCGGATTTCGGACGAATTATTTTGTAGATAATAATATATACTTTGTTTCATAATAAACAATTTGTCAAGTGTCATTTATTTACTGGTAATAGTGCATGTTTCAGTCGGGCAAATCTTCATTAATATTTGATACGCCGTTTTTTTGCATATTTCAGACACATCCAGAAATATGCTCCCGATTTTAAACATTAATATCTTTGTGAATTTTTAAGTGAAATACAACTGTAATATATCAAAATCTAAGTTAGTCATTCCTCTATTTGATGTAAGTTATTTCTCATTGAAAGCTTTACCTGTTTAGAAGTTATTACGAATCAAACCGGAGTACTTTTTTTTGGGACACCCGGTATATATATATATATAAATATATATATATATATATATATATATATATATATATATATATATATATATATATATATATATATATATATATATATATATATATATATATTGTTTGTAGTATATAAATGATTTGTAATTACCTGCTGAAAAGCCCTTTTGGGAGCAGGAAATATTGTCATAATAATAATAATAATAATAATAATAATAATAATTTCATGCACTTCGAGAATCATAGAATACACGCAAAGTTTTCGGATAAATCGCATTCATGATTGATGTTGAATGATGTTATTCTTTATATCGCGAAATTTCGGTAAACTTCTCAAAAACTTGAAAGAATATAGAACGAAACCATACTTCACTATCAAAGTTTCTGTCATCAAAATCGAGAATGACTTTAATCACAGAAATTTTGACCGTGTAAGCGAACCTATAAAGTTCAGAACATATCTCTATTTTCGGCAAACTGTCGGTTCGGCAAACTGTCTTTTCGGTAAAATGTCCGTTCGGCAAAACGCCCGTTAGGCAAAAGGTCCGTCGGCAATATGTCCGTTCGGCAAAATGTCTTTCGACAAAATCTATTTCCGCAAAGTGTCTTTCGGCAAACTGTCCGGCCACCAACGTGACCAATCGTTGCCTGTGACAGAATTCAATGACGTAACCCAATGCCGAAACATGCAGTTATTAAGCAGATGTCAGCATTTTCATGACCAACGATTTTTTTATGTGTATAAATGCGTTCGAGAATTATTTCGCTGTAAAAGCCAGACGATTGGAGTGTCTGAACGGAAAAGCCGCATCTTACAACTATTGGAAGGAATATATGCGAATGCAGTCGCACATGTGCAATCCTGTAATGGTTGTCAAGTCGGTCATCTTAGTCAAGGGCAACATGACTGTCTCGTGATGAACGATAACAAACGATGGCAAATGTACGGCTTATACAGGCGATCGAACAAGAGAATGCCAAGCTTATGCTTTGGAGTAAATTTGCTGAGGCAACGAGGGTAGCAAAACTGAGGGTTGGTAGAGATATACTCGAATATTTACAGCAACTGGAAAAAGATCCAGATTCTACGTTTGTCGATTCATTGATGGAATTACATCAAATAAAATAATAAAAGTATTTTCGGAAGATACTGTGTGGTGCTGTTATGTGTTGCTATACGTCATTAGACGATAGGTAGACAAAGGTTGAGGAAATTAGTATAAGTAATCATGCGATGTTTTTCGTACAATTAGGGGTTAATAGTACGAGTGATGTTTGGAAATTTTGCCAAAGTTGGATAAGCCGCCGGGGGAGTCCGATTTGGCATATTTCCAAACATCACCAGTACTATTAATCAATAATTGTACGAGCAACATCGCATGATTACTTGTTTATTATTAGCATGACAAAATTGGATACTTCTCAATGTCAACATCATATTCTTTCGCGAAAGCCCAGTCCTGCCAGACTTTCAGCTAAAATTTGGTGCTTTTGTTCGTATTTTCATTTAGTTCTTTTGTTAAAGCAAAATTTCGTGGTTTTGTTCGTATTTTCGTCCAGTCCTTCTAGGGCAATTTCATTTCACATTTGTGTTTAAAATACCTTTCCGCCATTTTGCTTGTTTTGGGAAAATCATTATTTTCCTGCAGTACAATTCATGAAATAATTGTGCTTCTTTCAACCAATCAGCATCCAGTAATTTTGTCATGCTAATAATAAAGGGGATTAGAGAAATACGAAATTGCATAACCAATAGGATCTTAATGGATATAAATGGATATTATTACGGGCGGCCATGGGCATGCTTAGGCGAACATTCAATATTTATAGATTAATTACGCGGGCGTATACCTTAATTGGGCGCGTGGCTTTGCGGCCAAAAAATTCCACAAGAATTTAAATTTAAAATACATTTATTTCTTCAAAACGGTTTAGACAATTCAGTACGGTCTACTTCTAAGAGCGTAACATTTCGGTGTTTTTGTTATCTTTAAAGCGTCCTCATATTCTTGTCTATCTTCAGACGATAACTTTGCAATTTTCTCCGGCTTCATTGGATTATAGTTTGGTCTGTCTCTTAGTATAAAACGTTCATTATCCTCTTTTGCTTCCGGAGTCTTTCGTGCTAGGTCACGTGCGGTCCAATATACTGGGTCGATTCAATTGTGGAAAAAATTGCGCTTCTGTTTTGGTCGTTCTTGTTCTGTTGGTGGCTGTGTTAGGAAAGTAGGTTTTGGAGTAGCGAGCACTGGTGGTGTTACCTCAGTAGATACAGGAGTTGGAGGCACTAGTGGTCGTATCTGAGCAGATGCTTTG